CCCAGCTGTTCCTCCTCTTCCTCATCAGCCACCTCCAGACCTGGGGGCTGTTGACTCTCCATCTGAGGACTGAGCCTGGGCCCAGGCTCTGCCCCCCCCCCCATCTCTAACAGCTCCATTCCCTCTTCCCCCTTGGAACTCTCAGGTTGCCCTGATGCTGACCCTGACTCCCACGCCTCCTCCACCTCCTCCGATTTGGCTGCTGGAGGGGCTGGTGGCCAACAGGCCACAACACTAGCATTATCTTCCACAGCAGTGTTCCCCAATCTTCATTGCTTTGTGGACTAGCAGGAGGGAGAAGGGATGGTTCCAATTGAATGGAGGGGTAAGGGGTGAGCCTGCCACTTCCGTGGCCTGGTTCCAAATGGGCTTGGGGACCCTGCACTACAGCCAGCAGCGCCTCTCTGCTTGATGTCTGTTCCTGTTAACGGCACAACCCGGAGCAACACAACTGATGGAAATCAGTCTTCTAAACCATTATGTCTTCTTTAACCATTCTAAACCATTATGTCTTCTAAACCACCTGTCAGGCCTGCAGTAATATTCCTTTTAGGATCTTTGGCCTGCCACTCTCTCTATTATTTTACTATGCTGTTTCATTAGTGGGGAATAGGGAGGGGGAATAGTAAGGAGTAAAATGTGTTGTTGTCAAAATAAAACATTCTTTTCTAGAAGCCCAAGATCATCCTTTGTCTCCGCACCTCTGCATCTGACCGGAACTGGATGGGTGGAAATGCCAGGGTGGCAGAGGAAGATTGGGCCATGTGATGGATTTGTGGGTGTGGGGCAAGATTGTGAACTTTCCACCGGGTGGAAAACCCAGGAAGCTTTCAGATTCAGGTTTCCACAGATGTGCCAAAATATCTCTCTTAATAAATTGGAAGATTGAGGAAAGTTCTGCCTTGGACTCTGATTTAATTTTGGATGTTATTTGGAATGCTGACATGCTGTTTCTATAGTGGGGAAATGGGAGGGGGGATAGTATGGAGTAGAATGTTATGTAGCCACAATACAATTCCTTTCTAGAGAGCCAAGGTCATCCTTTGTCTCTGCACCTGACCGGAACTGGATGAGTGGAACTGCCAACATGGCAGTGGGAGATTGGACCATGTGATGGACTTGTGGGTGTGGGGCAAGATCTTGAACTTTCAACTGGGTGGAAAACCCAGGAAGCTTTCAGATTCAGGTTTCCACAGTTTGTACCAACATCTCTCTCTTATTAAATTTGAACTTTGAGGAAAGCTATGCCATGAACTCTGATTTAATTCTGGATGATATTTGGAATGCTGACACCACCATCTCATGGGCGTTTGTGCAAACAAGTCCCCAACATGGCTTCCCCTCCCTCCTGGGCCCGCTGGTGCCCCAC